TGGCGTACTGGTGGTTATTTATTATTTTCCTCGTAGAACTGAATTTATTGAATTAATCAAGCATAGTAATACTACCAAAGAAATAAAACACTGACGTCTGATGTTCCGACTGTGACGAGCCCTGGTTAGGCTCTCTCTCTCTCTTTTAAACTGAAACACAAAATACGCGCTTAGACTTAAATCTGATGGATGTCATTGGCGAGTGCCGTTATTTGACTAGTGCAAAGTTTATTAGGCACATTAACTGTGTGTCTGGAATCCTCCAGAGCTACGTGTACTAAATTACTAGATATAAAATGCTTTTACGGTCTCCTGCCGACTACGAGTGTGCATACAGTTATCAGAGGTGTCATGATCACATCCACCGCCTCCAAAAACACGCGCGAAGGATGATAATGGAATACTTAAGCGCTGGTCACGGATGTCACTTGTTGAGCAGGAAACAGTTTTTATAGCAGTTCATGTTGTTTATCATTTTCATTTGCGTCATCGCAAGTCCATTTCCTGTTTGATTGCATTCCTCTAGGATACGGGCATATCAAGCCTGATAGCCAAAGGGACACACGCATGGTGTTTACATGATTAAAATAGGAAACAATATATTTATGTCTTGTTAATCAAAGTGAGCTACGAAATGATATCCACAATAAAGTCGTACACGTTATATTCCTGAACATGGATTCCTACATTCAACTTATGCACTATCTAGAAAATGAGGCAAACTAGGACGTATCCTTTGGTGTAATGTTTTCCATGATTGCGTTAGAGAAGTTTACCTTTTGTCTACCGTTTGTTGTGATGATGACTCTATCAAATAACTTTCCCGTCTTTCTATGTCGCATTTAAGTATTAACATTGGTATACAAAGCAATATTCATAGATGCGTTTTGCAACTGACTTGTGTAATTGTTATGTTGTTGTTAAAATATACCAATAACCTACGTTTAAGGATGTACACCTCTGAGAAGTAAAAAATTTCCTGTATTAAACTTTTTTTCTTATATGGATTTTTGGAAAAAGGAGTAAATGGCATAGAAGAAAATGCAAAAAAAAAACAACACCATATGTCCGTGTGCTCGTTTTTGTGCTATGATCGGTCAAAGATACCAATTTACCACAGCATGTGATTTTAGGTGATTTTTTGGGTTTTGACCACTTGCAGAACAAATTCATACAATTTCTTCCAAGTTTGTTATCAGATATGTATAAATGTTTGTAAAATTGTTGAAAATATTATTTTCTTTTAAATTATTGAAGTAAAATTTCTTAATCTTATTGTTTTTACTCAAAAACCCGATTTTAGTTACCCCTACCCCTTATTTTTTAATGAAAAAATACTCATTTTTTACCATTTTTTTTTACAGATTAAACGCTTGATATAAAAAGTTCTGGTATTTAACTTTTTTTTAATATTTAATGAATTAAATGAAAACGTGTTTCTCTTTTTAAAACATCTACAAAAATGGGGGGTCAGTGTGCTTTTTTTTTTGTCCCATTATCATTTGTGTTATTTTTTTACTTTTTAGGGGTCAAAAATCAAAAGTGCTTCAGTTACACTAAATACGTAAAAAAATATCAATAATGTATAATTTTCCATTTTGTTGCATATTATTTTTATCATATTGAACATTATAAAGTTGTACAGCAAAAATGAACCTGCTACAATTAAAAATGGCGACACAATAACAATTTAAGTGATCAATCTAGTGCCAAAAAAGGTGAAATTTTGGCCTTTTTTGAAGCACAAGATTTACACAATAATACACATTTTCAAAATGGCCGCCAAATTGGTAATTTTTTTAAATTCTTGTAAAAAAAGTTCTACAAACAACAGGCATCTAGTTTTTGACATATTTTTCAGATGCGTGTTTGCTAATAAACTTGATCATAAGTTGTTAAATATTACAAAAACCCATTACACCAGATCAAAACGAGACATGAACGTGATTGAAACCTCAGAAGAGTACATCCTTAAATCAATTCGCAGACGCAGTACAGGAAGATTGATGACACATATATAAATATGTTATGATTTATTTTTTATAAAATGTTTTTCTTGCAGTCCATGCCATATAATGGAATATCTATTTTATTTATGTACAATTCATTATTTTTGACTTCGATAGTTCCCTGCTATGCTTTACAACTTATCAGCTAAACAACAGGAAATTACCATCTCGCATTAACAGTTGTAATTGATTTAACGTAATATCATATTGAATATTATTGATAAAAAGACATAAGGCTATGAATTAAAATGTCCATTCAGTCAAGCAAACAGTCTAGAACTGTGAATTTATGTTAGAACTGTAAGTTTCTGCTATTGTTTGACGACAGTCTTGGTATGTTGATCACCTGGTTCAGCCTACTTTTTACCCCATTTGGTGGTAGTTCACTGTGTCGTTTAGTTTGGTGTCTCCCTGGTCCGTATTCATAAAACCGTTCTCATGCTCAAGCATGGATTCTGTGCTCAAACCGTTATTATTGTAACTCCCTTAAATCATGCCAATCGATCAATTAATCAAATGTAAACATTGGAAACAGCATTCGGCTCTGAGTCTTGTCAAATAGTTTTCCAAATCATTGACAATTATTTTTTTCACTTATTTATAACCAGAACAAGAAATGAGACTTGAACATAAAAGCCATGCTTGAGCATGAGAACGGTTTCATGAATACGGGCCCTTGTCTCATCGGAACCTGCTGCTACTTTGTATTGAATTCGGTTCCGAATCAGTCTTTGTCTGTTAATACTGTGATATATTTAGAGAATATTACATCGTTGTAAGGTCTATACTGGCAAATAGAGCATGATCTCTGGTGTGTACTGTACACCAATAGGTTGAGAGTTTAAACCATTTTTCGTGTATTAGTCACCAATATAGACAAGCCAAACAACGTTCTATCCCCATTCTAACACACGTTATCAAATATTAAGCTCATACTTTTAGAAACCATACTATTTATATCACCACAGTTAAGCTGTAAAACGTAATAAAGGACTCTGTGTGTTTTGTTTGCAGGTTCCCATGACATGTCACTCTACAGCGAATTGACCAATCAGAAAAAAGCTTTCAAAAGGCGGTCACTTGTCTTTGCTCATATACCGGTGCATACTTGATTTGTATGTGGACAGATGTTGATAGATCACCAACGTCTTGTTAAATGTCTAATTGAAATAAAAATTGGTTAGGATTGAGAAGCACACTGATTGTATATCAATTTAAACAATAAATGAAGGTGTTTGTGTAAGAAACGGAGAGGGACTTACGTCAGTGGCCGTGGCTTATCATGATTGAACCGTTGCTCTATTGCAGATTAAAACATAGTCCGTATCCAACCAATGCTGCTGTGTTATCTTTTGTCCTTGTGTGTTGACGCTGTGGTATCTTTTGTCCTTGTTTGTTGACGCTGTGGTATCTTTTGTCCTTGTTTGTTGACGCTGTGGTATCTTTTGTCCTTGAGTGTTGACGCTGTGGTATCTTTTGTCCTTGTGTTTTGACGTTGTGGTATATTTTGTCCTTGTGTGTTGACGTTGTGGTATATTTTGTGCTTGGGTGTTGACGCTGTGGTATCTTTTGTCCTTGGGTGTTGACGTTGTGGTATATTTTGTTCTTGTGTGTTGACGCTGTGGTATATTTTGTCCTTGTGTGTTGACGTTGTGGTATCTTTTGTCCTTGTGTGTTGCCGCTGTGATATCTTTTGTTCTTGTGTGTTGACGCTGTGGTATATTTTGTCCTTGTGTGTTGACGCTGTGGCATCTTTTGTCCCTGTGTGTTGACGCTGTGGTATCTTTTGTCCTCGTGTGTTGACGCTGTGTTATCTTTTGTCCTTGTTTGTTGACGCTGTGGTATCTTTTGTCCTTGTGTGTTGACGCTGTGATTTATTTCGTCTTTCTAAGCTGACGCAATGGTACCTTATATTGTGATTCTGGGTTTAATTTGTCCTTGTGTGTTGACAATGATGCATAAATTGTCCTTGTACTAACGTGTGATACATGTTTGTCCTTGTGCTACCGTGTGATATATGTTTGTCCTTGTACTAACGTGTCATATATGTTTGTCCTTGTGCTGACCTGTGATACATTTTTGTCCTAGTACTAACGTGGGATATATTTTTGTCCTTGTACTAACGTGTGATATATGTTTGTCCTTGTACTAACGTCTGATAAATGTTTGTCCTTGTACTAACGTGTGATATATGTTCGTCCTTGTACTAACGTGTCATATATGTTTGTCCTTGTGCTGACCTGTGATGCATTTTTGTCCTAGTACTAACGTGGGATATATTGTTGTCCTTGTACTAACGTGTGATATATTTTTGTCCTTGTACTAACGTGTGATCTATGTTTGTCCTTGTACTAACGTGTCATATATGTTTGTCCTTGTGCTGACCTGTGATGCATTTTTGTCCTAGTACTAACGTGGGATATATTGTTGTCCTTGTACTAACGTGTGATATATGTTTGTCCTTTTACTAACGTGGGATATATGTTTGTCCTTGTACTAACGTGGGATATATTTTTGTCCTTGTGCTGACTTGTGATATATTTTGTGTAATGAGGTTTTGGTATATTTTGTTTTGTGTGTTAACGCTGTGATGAATTTGTCCTTGTGTGTTGCCGCTGTGGTATATTTTGTCATTGTGTGTTGCCGCCGTGGTATGTTTTGTCCTTGTATGTTGCCGCTATGGTATATTTTGTCCTTGTATGTTGTCGCTTTGGTATATTTTGTCCCTGTGTGGCAACGCTCTTGTATAATTTCCTTTTGGGTGTTGACTCTGTGACAGATTTGATTGTTTTGCGTCTATTTTATTTTTCTGGTAGTTGATAGCTTAACCAAATGATTTGAATTCGATGTATTTTTGCAATGAGCAATCAGCATGATAATGGATTGGTAATACTTTTTTGCAGCATTTCCTGTCGACTAAACCTAATTTTCATTTAGTTTAGACGACAAAAAAGAGAAACAAACAGAGATGGTTTCACTATGTGAGAAATATGTTTATCTGGTTCTCCGTGGGCAGAATAAGGTAACACATATTTACAAAATCGTTAGAAAGATAATGAAAGCACACACACACATTATGATATTGCTGACTGATCAGTTAGTATTGCTTGAAGACAAGAAAATCTCAAAAATCTATAGACAATGCTTTTAAAAATGCAGTATGGTTATTGCAATATGAAATGAATAAAAATGTTCAAACATGGAAACAGTTACGAGCTGCTTTGTACATATAAGCATTGTTAGCTTCGGTTAACATAAATCTCCAACATAAGACGTGCTGAACCACGTGCTTTCTATTTATAATCACATCGGCGCCTAAATGTCGGAGCCGAGCTACGTGACCTATTGCAATCAATGTTTTTTTCAATACACCAGACTGTCATTTAGCTGTTTGTGGATCAAAGTGTATTGATATAACATAATTATGAGCGAGCTTATTGGAAGCTAGGAATATATTTCCTTTCTAATTTGTTCTGGTAAAACAAGAGTTTGATTGTAATTTGTCAAGTTCCTGTCAAATTCCTTTTTATGTACTTTCTCTATACTATTTTAACACCAAGTTGTTATTTATAAACGATGCCAATCTATCAAAATTTACAACAATTGCGCAATACCCCAAAAGAACGCGTTGTATGAAGTCGCTCGTGGAGTCCATTAGGACACCGTCCCATCAATTAATTTGAGCCTATGAGGATTCCCAGGTGACATCGTTTAAAAGTCAAAGCCACAAATCTCTGTACCATTTATCAAGATACCGCTTTGAGCCTCCTAAAGATGGATGTGACACATTTTTTGTCAAGACACGACAGGGTGTCTAGAGTAGATAGAAGCCCCAATAACACACATTGAAGAGAAGGAAGAGAAGAGGGAAAAGTAACCGGGAATAGCGGTCTATGTTGTTTACGTCCTTCACTCTAGGTAGCCTCACTTTGAACTTTTTAGCTCTCTGTTTAACACTTGTATAATACTTTTTCTTTTTATTTACTGTTGAGTTATGTTTTCTCCTCACTAAGTCATCGTGTAAGTAGCCACGTGACATACAAGTCCGCGGGAGGTCGGGGATATTTGGCGGGGTTTCCATGTGTTCTTCCTCTATTGTAATTTTAGTTCCTTGTGAATTCCGAATAGCTACTATAGGAGACATTTGCACTTCTTCTGATTCTAAAGGCGTTTCGTCGACCACCTGAAACGATAACAAAAACAACAATGCTTCATATATGATTATATCTTGTTGTGATGAAGAGATAAAAAAAGGTCAGCAATCAAAGAATACTACGAGTATTCGGAAAATAATTATACTGAGAAAAACCGCCAAGCCTGTACTAAGGTTTTCACATACTATTAAACATAATTAAAAACATCGACCTTCGCACTAAGAAAGAAATTCTTAACAGTTCTTTCTTGTTTGATATCGTTTATGTCATAAATATAATATTTACATCTGGTTCGTCGTCGACAGGCTGCTGTAGTGTGATCAAACCGTCTTTGAATTTCTTGGTCTTTTTCTTTGCTCTAGCTCCCCAGAAAGTGTAGTTGACAGCGGCATATTCTAACAGTGCAGCGAACACGAACACAAAACACATGACAAGGTAGATGTCTATAGCCTTGACGTAGGAGATCCGGGGCAGGGAGGATCGCACCCCATTACTGATAGTCGTCATCGTCAGTACAGTGGTGATACCTATAAGGGAACAAGCGCTAAAATAGCATTGACACAATATGTATAACAGTTAAATTTTGCGGGGTTAATATTTTACGATTGTCCCGATCAGAACTATTTTGCTGGGATGAAATTTCGGACAACACCGTCTAGTGAAAAATTCTCGGTCACTTGCTTCTTCTGTAAGAACGGGACATGTATTCATGAAACCGTTATCATGCTCAAGTATGAATTCTGTGCTCAAACCCTCTTTCTGGTAACCCACTTAAATCACGTCAAACAATCAAAAAGTCAATTGTAAACATTGAAAACTGTATTCGGGTTCAAGTCTCTTCATTTTTTTCAAATCTTTGACGAAATATTTTTTCTCCTCAAATAATTTATAACTAGCAAAAGAAACCGACACGCACAGTCATATAGACACAGTAATATCAAAGGCAATGCTATGCCATTATCTTTACAAAAGTGTCAACATATAAATGAGACAATTTGAAAACGATAACAGAAGACGTATAACGAGAAAGGAGGCGACACCAAAACGAAAGGAAAGACACCATGAGTCTACACAGAAAACCGAGAAGGAACCATGAACTAGAGAACAGTAAACGTTTCCTACACTACACTGGGCCATGATGCTTCCTGTAAAGTCCAGGCAATATCCGTCTTCATCTATCAGAGACATGATATATATTTTGTCAAATACTGGAAATTAGGCCAGGAGGAAAGCTGAAACATTTCTTATAAGGATATTCTCAAAAAAAAGTTTCATTGAGGACTCAAAACCGGGAGCAATATCCCCATGGACAAATTCCTGTACTTTGTTATCGAGGAAAAGCGCCTTTTATTAACATAAATATGTTTGAACACGTTTCCTAAACCATGCAAGTGCAACACATCATATCAAAATGAAATGCGTCCTTTAACGATAAAAAAAACCTGATAGCTTATTGATAAGGGAATCCCATTTGTACGTAGCACAGGTTTCAATGAGCGCAAGCCGTATGCCAATAAATAGAGGCACGTACAAATCTAAAGTACAGAGTGCACATGACAAAACTAAAATGCTAAACTTCCATTTGACATTCGTAGTGCAAATCTTGCTTGCTCTTATTGAATCTCCAATTTGCAATAAAACGACTTTTTATGTTTGGTTTCTTGAGTCATTATTACATGCAAAAGTCGATAATACATTCAAAGCAACGTCATATTGTTATAATTTAAGTCCGGAAGAGAAAACGGGAGAAGTTTTGCCGCTATTTACGGGAATGAATTAGTCAGTATAGACCATTGTTGATCGGTCTCTCGGCGTTACCCCTCTCCAGACTACATACTTATCCCGACATATTTGACTTTAACTGATGTATGGGAGATGAAAACGTAGATTAAATGTCTAAGCATGATAGAGTTATAAAAACAAATTGTCTATGTTTCTGACTACCGCGCATGGCATGTTTGATTACGACTGAGTTTGTTTAGAATGTTGCCGCTGTATTGTCTTGATATAATAACATTGAAATGAGTTTTGCTATTCTACATCAATTTATCATTTATAGTTTTGTGATTGTTCATAGAAAGTTTATCAAATGCGGACTATAATACATTTCTTTATCTTATCTTACAGGTGTTGTTCCATACGTCTTTACATTGCATGAATATTTTGCAAGAATAGGGACAATAAGAAAACACGGTTGATGTATCTAGGCACAATGCATTATTACAAAAGAATGCAGTCACGAGATATGTCAGTGAATTCATTTACCTCCACAGCTTGTTCCTATTTCCCTTAAATTGTCGTTTATAGGATAAACACAAATACAAGCGAATGCCTATTAACGTAAATGTGGCAATTAAATCAAACGTGTACCAACAGAAAACGCGCACTTTTCCCCCTCTAACGTTTCCTCAGCTAAACCTACCGGGATAGATCATACAGTATGGATACCCCATCTAAACATTATGAACACCACATGCAATTCCACTGACGTTGCAATTTCTGAAATAGCTGCTGCACATCTGGTGGCTTTGTGTGTCACAACGGGTGTTTTCATCAGGGCTCGATTATACAATTCTATTTTTTTAGGTGAAAATCAAATCATAAACCAACACAGTGTCCTAACCACGTTCCGATGCTCAAGCTAAATGTACTTTGTTTTTTTCCCCGTGAAGAATTATCGCGAGACTCCTGAGAGAACACGTTGGCAATTTGTCTTTCCTATCGCTGTTTCGCATGTGTATTGCATATTGATTCGTCTCGAATCCGGTCATACTGGCAAAAACTTAGAAATTAATTTTAATTTCAGCAATTGGTAGAAATCAGTAAAAGCCGATTCAATATGCTATATTTCTTGACGCTCATTACGGCATTTTGCATTATTTGGAACTACCTTTCATCATGTAACAATGGAAACGTGACGTAACACATCATCAACAACTCCTATACGACCAACACATACTAATGTCACGACATGTATCACAACTGAGTCCTGTCACTAAACACTTACCTATAAAAGATGTTTGTCCTTGTGTATTCTGATTTATCTGAGTAGCAGTATAATTGAAGTATGATTTAACTGAGTACCAGTATGATTTCAGTATGATTTATCTGTGAATATAAGTACTGTTTATGTGAATGATATAATGGGTTATATGTATTGGATTATAAGTTTGTAAATGGCAGTATAGTTACTGTAAATGACAGTATGGTTACTGTAAATGACAGTATGGTTTATGTGAATGTCAGTATGATATTTGTGAAGTGTGGCTTATGTGTGTTGTGGTAAAATTGATCTTTTTTTGTTTGCGTTTTACGTCCTATTAACAGCTATGGTCATTTAAGGACGTGCCAGTTTTTGGGTGTGTAAACAAAGCCGGAGTACCCAACCTGCTGTCAGTACCTGATGACTGCCCATTGTAGGCCTCGAACCCGCGACCCAGTGGTGGAGGGCTTGTGGTAACACTCAACTACTGTTGAAAATTCATGCAAATTGAATATAATCTATACAAAGGATAACATTAGTTATGCGGGTGGTATTACGGTGTCAGTGTGATTTATGTAAGTGGTAGCATGGCTTATGTTAGTTGTAAAACGATTTATGTTAGTGGCAGTGTGATTTATGTAAGTGGTAGCATGGCTTATGTTAGTTGTAAAACGATTAATGTCAGTGTGCTTTATGTAAGTGGTAGTATGGCTTATGTTAGTTGTAAAACGATTTATGTCAATGGCAGTGTAATTTATGTAAGTGGTAGCATAGCTTATGTTAGTTGTAATACGATTTATGTCAGTGGCATTGTGAATTGTGTAAGTGGTAGCATGGCTTATGTTAGTTGTAATACGATTTATGTTAGTGGCATTGTAAATTGTGTAAGTGGTAGCATAGCTTATGTTAGTTGTAATACGATTTATGTTAGTGGCAGTGTGAATTGTGTAAGTGGTAGTATAATTTATATAAGTGGTAGTATAATTTATATAAGTGGTAGTATAATTTATGTAAGTGGTAGTATAATTAAATAAGTGGTAGTATAATTTATATAAGTGGTAGTATAATTTATATAAGCGTCGCATCAAATTTAGATTGAAACATTACACGTATAACATAACTATCTGTAAAAAGTTTTCCTGTAATTTAATATTCACTGTGACTCGTGTGAGTCAGATTTAGTAATTGAGACTAACAACTGTGTTATTAAGTTGCTATATATCCGTATTATTGTCGTTTATCAATACTTTAATTATTATACCAGAACGACGACTAACATTTAAAATTGCACCAAGGACACGAAAAAAAACTTTCGCGATTAAGAACCGTATAGGAATTATTATTTAATTTCATACCGTTACTTTGCTATCATTTGGCAATGTCATGATATAATTACACGTGTATGTATGTGAGTTGAATACATAACCGAAGTCTACATGTCAATGTGCGACGCTTTCTCAGCGGTATGCAAGCACCTGCCCAACCACACGTGATTTTGATTTGTGCTGATACGACAAGCTGGCGTTGCTATTTGACACGGAGTAACTCATGGCTGTTTTAATTTGGAGGTGCCGTAATTGTGACGTAATTGGAAGTGACGTAATCGGTATGAAAAACATCCACGGTTGGAATCATGATTGAATATTCTTGTAAAAGCAACATTTCCCCATATTTTCATTTCCTGCAAACATGAACGAGGTGAGGCAACACGCGTCATACTAAATCTAACGAGACATAACTTTTGCACGTGCGGTGAAATGATTGCAAGGGAAACGTGCGAACACATTCTCAATTGACAGAAGAATGATGAATGGTAGACATAGAAATATGTATGTTTTCCCACCAAACAGAGAACATGTTTAAAGTAATCTAATATGTTTTTGCCTTTTATTTTACATTGTTTACATATAAATTATTTTTACTGAGGTTAACCAGACGTTGATGTGATGTGATTCCAGACACCGTGTGCTCCGATACAACGGGGCAATGTTGTGTAACTAGCAAATTTCCATGAAATGAATTACTTTGTAAAATCCTTTTGTCAGAATTAATATAACTGGTTGTGTAAGTCTCGCCCAAATGTATCAAACTGACACTCCCAGGACATTGCTGTTCTGAGAGTTTGAAAGTACAATAGGGTATGTCTTCATGTAAACCGTTTTGTCTTATATGGATGTGTGGGATTTGCACGTGGAGACGTGTCAGGTAATAAAATAGTGTTTATACCGACTGCACTTTATGAGCCCCTGCGTTTAATTATTTTTGCTGAGGTTAACCAGACGTTGGTGTGATGTGATTTCAGACACCGTGTGCTCCGATACAACAGGGCAATGTTGTGTAACTAGCAAATTTCCATGAAATGAATTACTTTGTGAAATCCTTTTGTCAGAATGAATATAACTGGTTGTGTAAGTCTCGTATTGATCGGCGTGCCTCGCCCAAATGTATCAAACAATTGACATCAACCGACACTCCCTGGACATTGTTGTTCAGGTAGGAAAGACGCAGAATGAGCAGCTCACGAAGCCTGTCTAATGTAAGTCAACCTCTCACATACACTCTTGTTCTCGACAAGTTCCATCTCAAACAAAGACTTGTTCCTAGCATAATGTACTACTCCAACACGTTATGTATGATAACGGTCATCAGACGTTAGGACGATATGTGTTACTTGTAAGTAAGATTGGTAGCATGTTCGCTGCATATCGGAGTCTGTATGATGTCCTATGTGTTACAAATAATGTATAATTCATCTGTGACTAAACAGGATTGGCGATTACAACCAAGTGCTATGGTCATTAATCAGGGTCTTTGTGTGGGACCAATAGAGGCCAGTTAAAAATATCCAAAACACCAGCACTCCGTTCCAGCTTAGAGTTGGTATACAAGCGTCATTAAACTTATCGATTTGTAAGGAATCTACCAATCGTTTTTTTGTTAGCTCCCTGACTATTGGAAACCAAGTGCAATGGTCATTAATTAGGGTCTAGTGCTACTCTAGCAGATGTAGCCTCGTGACTGATACCTGCTGATGTACGTACCTAGTGCCGCTCTAGCCGAATTGACATCGTTGTGAGTACCTGCTGATGTACGTACCTGGTGCTACTCTAGCTGAGTTGACATCGTTGTGAGTACCTGCTGATGTACGTACCTAGTGCCACTCTAGCTGAGGTGAACATGTTGTTGATTCCTGCTGATGTACGTACCTAGTGCCACTCTAGCTGAGTTGACACTGTAGTGAGTACCTGCTGATGTACGTACCTGGTGCTACTCTAGCTGAGTGGAACCTGTATTTGATACCTGCTAATGTTTGTACCTAGTGCCACTCTAGCTGAGTTGACATCGTTGTGAGAACCTGCTGATGTACGTACCTAGTGCCACTCTAGCTGAGGTGAGCATGTGGTTGATACCTGCTGATGTACGTACCTAGTGCCGCTCTAGCCGAATTGACATCGTTGTGAGTACCTGCTGATGTACGTACCTAGTGCCTCTCTAGCTGAGATGAACCTGTAGTTGATACCTGCTGATGTACGTACCTGGTGCTACTCTAGCTGAGGTGAACCTGTAGTTGATACGTGCTGATGTACGTACCTAGTGCCACTCTAGCTGAGATGACCATGTAGTTGATACCTGCTGATGTACGTACCTAGTGCTACTCTAGCTGAGGTGAACCTGTAGTTGATACGTGCTGATGTACGTACCTAGTGCCACTCTAGCTGAGGTGAACCTGTAGTTGATACGTGCTGATGTACGTACCTAGTGCCACTCTAGCTGAGGTGAGCATGTGGTTGATACCTGCTGATGTACGTACCTAGTGCAACTCTAGCTGAGTTGAACATGTAGTTGATACCTGCTGATGTACGCACCTAGTGCTACTCTAGCTGAGGTGAACCTGTAGTTGATACGTGCTGATGTACGTACCTAGTGCCACTCTAGCTGAGTTGACACTGTAGTGAGTACCTGCTGATGTACGTACCTGGTGCTACTCTAGCTGAGTTGAACCTGTAGTTGATACCTGCTAATGTTTGTACCTAGTGCCACTCTAGCTGAGTTGACATCGTTGTGAGTACCTGCTGATGTACGTACCTGGTGCCACTCTAGCTGAGTTGAACCTGTAGTTGATACCTGTTGATGTACGTACCTAGTGCAACTCTAGCGGAAGTGGCCTTGTGGTTGACACCTGTTGATGTACGTACCTAGTGCAACTCTAGCGGAAGTGGTCTTGTGGTTCACACCTGTTGATGTACGTACCTAGTGCAACTCTAGCGGAAGTGGCCTCGTGGTTTATCCAGAATGATACCCAGGATAGCATCACAATTAGGATTGACGGCAAGTACGTTTGGAAAATAAAGTATCCAACATTTCGATGAAGCTTAAAACTCAATGACAATCTCGGGTAGTCACCTGAAATAAAATATGTAGACATAGCTGACGTCCTGTTCATCAAATGTATTAAATCAGGAAATTGTAATATTGTATTCTGCAAAATTGGAATTTTCAGCAGTATGGAAATACTTTCAATTTTCCCGTTGAGTTTATTAGCGCGATAACATCCGCACGTGAATATGTGTTTATGGATTATACAGATCAAAGGTATATATCTAAATAGAAGCCGGAGTCACTGCCAAAAATATCCAAACCACAATCAGTTTGGAGAATCACAACGCGAACATTTCCACACGCGAAACATTCCACTTTTACAATATCAGATGCTTTCAGCGTGTTTTTATAATCAAATTAAAAAAATATTGCTGGAAGCAAGATTGAATCCCAATCAAATTATAGGCTCAGAATTGTTCTAATGAACAAATTAAAATTTGAAAGAAACGCACATTTACATTGAAAACATAAAGTTATATCTTCTATCAAAAACCAATGACTAAGGAAAATAAGGATTATTTGGCGTCATATCCCAATGATAGGACAGACGCTGTCGTTTTATGTTCGAAAAATGTGAATAGTATTGAAAAAATAATGTAACGGATGTTACGAAAGTAATCAGGATGATAATAATAATAATAAAATCTTTTATTTAGACAGGGTTACATATTTAGATTTACATCTAAGTTACAATATGGCCCTGTATGGCCCTAAAATAATCGAAATGCTGATTGCTCGTTTTGTTTTCTACAAAATCATCAATGTGGATTAATTTTCATGATTTGAAAATATTAAAAATCATGTATGAATCACATACCACACAGAGTGACAAATGGTACTTTGTAATCTTAACATCTCAAAACAATCTATTTACATTCAAAAATATTTTAATAATTTAATAAAAGAAGGTTTTTTCTAACGTTGATATGTAAGACGAATAATTAAGTTTCATTCACTGATTCCAGTTTTAAATTATTTTTCGTTCATATGCAGTTACAAATGGTTCCGTAAAATTACAATAGCACATAATTAGCTATTTGTAACGATAGGGATGCACATAGTATTATTAAAAAAATAACAATGGATCCAATTTTACTATTAACATTAAAGTTTTTTCATTTTAAGAATGAGTGATGTGTGTTTTATTCATTGCTGGATCTTAGCCATCTGTTGTATTATTAGAAGATGTACGTTGCTCAAGAAACAAAACCAAGATTGTTATAGAAATATCATAACCGACAAATTGAAACAAGATCCAGGAAGACGAAATGTACATGGCTATATATCATATCAGTACAGATTGTCTGTGGAACCACAATATGTATTAGACCGTTGCTGAATTACACGCACCGATCATGTATGTAAATGATAAACTTTATCTTTAAAGGGAGAAGGTGTACTTGACCAATGACACATCTTACGTTAGCTTTCATGTACAACATTTTTTGTGACCCATTCATTGTCTGTTCTGAGAGTTTGAAAGTACAATAGGGTATGTCTTCATGTCAACCGTTTTGTCTTCACATAATTTAAGATGTAGCGTTAAAGTGACGTTGTAATATATGGATGTGTGAGATTTGCACGTGGAGACGTGTCAGGTAATAAAATAGTGTTTATACCGACTGCACTTTATGAGCCCCTGCGTTTAATTATTTTTGCTGAGGTTAACCAGACGTTGGTGTGATGTGATTTCAACCACCGTGTGCTCCAATACAACGGGGCAATGTTGTGTAATTAGCACATTTCCTTGAAATGAATTACTTTGTGAAATCCTTTTGTCAGAATGAATATAACTGGTTGTGTAAGTCTCGTATTGATCGGCGTGCCTCGTCCAAATATATCAAACGATTGACATCAACCGACACTCCCTGAACATTGTTTAATTATATATAACGTTCTACTTTATAGTGCACTGACTAAAAAACCATAAACAATTTGTATGGTTTTAAATTGTTGGATATAGATAGAGGAACACCAGGGGAAATCGGTTTAAGTAAGAACAGGGTCACAGACTGATGGCGTGTACTTTTCAGGTAAACTCTGGGTCATATACACCATTTACTGATGGTGTGTACTTTTCAGGTGAATACTGGGTCACAGACCCCATTTACTGATGGTGTGTTCTTTTCAGGTAAACTCTGGGTCCTATACACCATTTACTGTTGGTGTGTACTTTTCAGGTGAATACTGGGTCACAGACACCATTTACTAGTTTTATTTATAGTTTTAATTATTCACTCCGACACACTTACGTGTGTAACAAGAGGTCACATACATATAGTAAGTATGACACATGGCGTGTGATGTACACAATTACAACATTGTACATAGCATAGATACATATAGAAGTACACAAATAGTACAGAAATTAAGTTATTATTTTTTCAAGCTTTTCTATGAATTTACAAAGTTTTGTGTAAATTTTTACATTAAATATATTAAACAATCCTTGCATTTTTATTTGACTGGGATAAGTGAAATAAAATTTTGGTATATATTTCTCTCTTAGACATTTAACTAAAACACTTTCACATATAAATAAGTAATGAAATTCATCTCCAATGTACAAATTACATAATGTACAGGTTCTTTCTTGACGAGGAATACCTAACCATCTTCCTTTTTCTATGGGTAAATGCATATTGCAAGAACGGAATTTACACATTATTTTCCTATCATTTGTATTAAGTTTAATTAAATATTTTTCTTGTTCAAACTTTGTCTTTAATATTGAATATGTTTGTCCTCTAGAGGAGTTAAGAATATTATCAAACCATTTCTGTATAAATTGATCCTTCAGTCTACTTTTCACAAGCCTCTTAATTTCGTCTTTTGAAAAAGAACATGTAGATTGATAGTACCACACATAGTTCAGGCCAGTTTGAGAAAAAATATCTTTAACATATGCGAGCCATTTAAATAACATAGTTCCATTTTCATGTAATGTATACATAAGCTTATAAATAGTACTTGATAACTTACTAGAGGTAATCAACTTATGCCAGAATACTATTATTCTACATTTAATTTCGATGTCTAGTGGGTATCTTCCAAGCTCACCATAAACAATGAAATTTGGTGTACTTTTTCTTACATTTAGTATATATTTACAAAATTGAAGATGGATTTTTTCTATAATATTTGTGTTTTCAAAACCCCATATTTCTGATGAATAGAGAAGAACTGGCATAATTAATGAATCAAATATCTTCAATTGTAGATCAACTGGTAAAGATATGTTTCTCAATTTCTTATAGACAGCAAACACTGATTTCTGTGCTTGTTCAACAATTTTTTTCCTTGCTTTAAAGAAGCTACAACTAAAATTAAAGAATAATCCTAGATAGGTATACCCTTCCAGTATTTCTAATTCTACGTTACATAATGTAAAATGGGGAGTTCTTGCACATTTTCTTTTTGAAAAGATGACAATTTTAGTTTTTCCTGAATTGATAGTTAACTTCCAAGTATTACAGTATTGTTCAAATTCATTTAAAGCTAACTGTAAACCATCTGGTGTTTCTGAAAACAGGACAGTATCATCGGCATATAAGATAATGAATAGTTTGAGATACACTCCAATGTTATCAATACATAATTTGTCTATTGTTTGAAGACAATTTACATTTTTTTCAACAAGATAAGTTTCTAAATCATTTAAATAAATTGCAAACAAAAATGGCGATAAATTTTCGCCCTGTTTTAAACCGATCTCACAATTGAACAAATCCGACTGTTCACATCCATTTTTAACACATGATTTGGTTTTATCATATAGCTTATAAATAATATTGAAATTTTTTCCAGTAATGTTGCTTTTTTGGAGCTTTTTCCACAGACCAACTCTCCATACAGAATCGAACGCCTTACTAAAATCGATGAACGTACAATAAAGTTTTTTTCCTAATGAAAAATATATTGAGATTAAAGAATACAATACAAACATGTTTACTGATGGTGTGTACTTTTCAGGTAAACACTGGGTCATATACACCATTTACTGGTGTGTGTACTTTTACTTTTAAACAGTTGCACTGGTAACCGGTATAAATCATATGTTTACAAAACAGGATGAAAAACAATGTAATATAATACAGTAACTTATTACACAATCAAAAGGATTAAATATTTTAGGTAATTCTATGTGGTTCAATGATCAATCAAACATACCAATTGTTTTCTAATTTATCCTATTCACCCCCTCCTCCTCCTCCTCCTCCTCCTCCTCCTCCAACCAACATAAGTATCTTTAGAGTTCCTGAATATTTATCTGACACATGCGGTAATGTTTTTGATAAAGAAGTCTAATTTCTCTCTATATTTCGTATTCTCTGTCTTTCGTGTTTCTCGCACGTTTACGTATACCTACCTGTGGATAGACTTTCGATCTTTTCTATAGTTCTGTACTCGACGATATCGAACTGTGGCAGCTGTACCTTGTCGACACCCTGGACGGACTCCTTCCCATTCCGCCAGTGAGGGTACAGATCATGGAAGTCATAGCCATCTGTGTGATAAGAACAGAGGATAGTTTGTTAACATGTAGCTCTAGATAATGATTCAAAATGTCGACCAATTTTCCTCTCATGTTGTACTTGTTATCCATGCACACTAAACTTTTTTTTGAGTTTTGAATATATTGAAAGTAATTATTTTTTTACATTGGCCTTTTTATTTGTCGATATCATTCAAATTATGCGGGACGAACACCACAAATATGTAACAAAATCTGATATTTATGGTGAGGTATATTCTAGGTGAGAGTAAATATCTTATTTGATAAGCTCGTTTTGTAAATATAATGATTAGCCATTGTTATGCACACTATGATGTTTATATTTAAAAACCCACATGTATGAGGAGGAATCATAAATATTTGAACTCAAAATATAATCAACAGATATGAGGAATAAAAACCAGAATATTCGATTTGCAGATTTTAACTCAATCTATAGCCAGGGAAGCCACACCAGACGAAGCTATGATCCGTGTTTTATTCGATATATCTGTACAATATATGGGAACATGGCTGGTTACCTCCTTGACATTAGATTATCATGGCACCAGACAAAAACACAAGGCATTCGTGATCGGACTAGGTTACAATGCATAACGGGAGGATTAAAGAAGCTTTATTCCCGCTCCATGAAGCATTCCTATTATCCCTTCAGCTGTTCACCAATGCCCGATGATTGCCTCGGCGCTAAACTTCCTTTCAGCCATACCATGGTCACATGCAACACACAAATGTCTTAAGAACCATATGCCAGTAGAAAAAATATGTTCCAGCTAATTGCATTTGTATGAGCCGCTCGTGTCGAATTTAATTGTGTACATGTTTGGTTTCTCTTGTATTGCTGCATGTTGATTTTGGAATAAGTTTGTCCAAAATGCAGGATGTATCAAAAGGCATGTCCCCTCTTTTAAAAATTCCAAAATCTTTGCCAAATCAAGACAGACAACGCTTTAGAAATGACATAAGAAGTTGTCGATATATGAATAAATACAATCATGCCATAGGTGTTTTATGACGTCAAAACACATCGAGTTATTGTTGTGTCCCAGATGGATAACATGACGGAGGTCATGTTGTTGTTGGACATATTATGTAAATAGGAGGTCATCAACACAGCAGGATACCACAACAATCGTTTTTTTCGGGATGCGTAGTGGCTTTGGAGAAGACTTTATAGTCCATCACTCCTATGTTCACTTGCCATCTAATTCACCTTATTTGAACCCTCCAGACTGTTGGTGTTGGGTTATGTAAGGGTTCGTTTTTATTTACCGTCCTAAAATGACCTAATTGTCTTGAAATTCGCAATAAGGGGGAACATAAAATAATGCAGAAATGTGACCAGGAACTTTAGAGACAGATGAAAGCTAGCGAAATAGAATTCATTTAGATCTTATATATTGTAAAGTGACTGATAAATAAAAACAATTGAATGATTGTCTTCATTTGATTCCTTTTATCATATTTTTCGCTGTTTAATTAAAAGTTATGTACTAATTGAATGTTCTCCTACTACACTTTGATATGAGTCTTACTCAAATAAGTCATTTCTAATAAATTTGATTAAACCACAAGGGGGAACAGCTTTTCTGAATCACCCTGTACTGAAACACATATCAATAGCTTAGAAAGATATAGTGATGTTATCTAACATCGCTGTTTTGATATCAAAATATTGTAATTGACGTTTTACAAATTGTTTCTCAGGGATATGCTATTTGGGCGGATTTTGATGGTTTCAGATACTAATATTTAATGCCTGCAGTACTTTTCAAACATAAATGATATGTTTGTGGGTTACAATAACAACAATAAGGTAGTTCAAATATGATCAATTTGACGCATCCTTTTGATAAAAGAGGTGTCATAAAGTATGATATATAAATAAAAAAGTAAAAAAACAGTAATGTTGTTAGATCAGTAGAGTTCTATAAACCTCAAGGAAACCTCAACTCAGAAGTCATGCCGCCATATCTTGGAAGAGCATGTATATTCTACAGTTGACAAATCCATAGTCTGGGAAATAGTTAACTAGATTCGTACGATCACTTCAGAACACTTAATTCTAGGTTTTCCTCGATCTTTCATGGAATACCTCTACACTTTTTCTGTTCCAGAGAACAGAAGTTTGCATATATCATGTACCTAAAATGCTATATATAACTGTTGAACCAAAGTTGGTACCTCTTAATGATGAACTATTGTTGTTGAATGTTTATCCTGTATCAGAGTTAAAGTAAGTTAATTTACTGCTGACATAAAACTGTTAATTATCGTGGGTGAACTTAAGTTGGCATATACCGTCCGTAAACTGAAGTTGGAATGCAATCTTGTTGAACAAAAGTTGGTTTAACATATTATAAGTGAAGGTTATTTTATATTATATATTGTCGTAGACTAAAATAGTATGTAAATTAAAATTGGTATTTATTATTGGTGAACTCATATTGTTTTATATTGTGAGTAAGCAAAAATTGTATATATTGTGGTTAGCTTGACGAAACGTGTAACATTAATGAAATGAGACACAATTCATATATGTTTTGATGCAACTGATTTTCAAGAAATGTTTATGTAGTGTCAGTCTTTTCGATACTCATATTTAGGTTTAGCACTCTGTTATGTAACACATGTCTGTCGATGGCCGCTGATCGCCTAAACACGTGAAGTGTTAGAAGAGGCAATGCTACCCCTGACAATTAACAGACCGGCTTCCGTACGACTAACCCTCGTGGGGAAGTATATAGAAAGTGTCGATAATCACATCAGATAGTCTACAGTTCACGCGATCTGTGACAGTCTGTGCAACCTGTCTACAGTTGATAGGTTCCGATATCCCTTTAGGTTAGCCATGGGATTCGGAATGTCTACTGTCAGGATGCACTGTGTTGTAACAGGCATATCCTTCATAGTCCGTGTCAGGTCTGCTCCGGTTTGTTGTGTTTACTAGGTAATGATTTATCTGTAAGACAGATCACGTTAATCAAACAACGTTAAATTGATATCATAACAACAGAGGTTCCCTAATGGGGCACTTTGTAACTTGTGACGTCATTACAATAATGGACTTGAAGCAATGTCTGAAACCTTGCATTGACAGGAAGTTATTCTGTGAAATACTCAGTCATGGTGAGAATGCATTTGTCTGCACTTTTCCATGGGTGGCGCTCCTCAGGATATATTTGTTTCCTGTAGAGTACATGCACTTTGCTTGTGCCAAGATGGCATGGTCGTTAGCAAAATCCCATGACACATTTCCAGGAATAGCTTTTTTCCTAATTATTTGTCGGTTTCTTTCGTGCTTCTAAACTATGCAGGTTCTTCCCTAACTCAACAATAACAACCTAATGATGTAAAGGAGGTACAGCAGGTCATCTATTCATGTCTGAAACGACAATGAGGGGATCTGGAATACCACGAATCTAAGTAATACCTATTCTTCAATTTCCTGAGTTGACAATTTTCCAGACAGTCGCAAACACTTGTATATATTGCCGAAAACATAAATTCATAAAGAGTTATTGGCATTGATCAGCGTATTTGCATTTCCGTTTAGTAAATAAACTTTATTTAAAACAAACTCTTTTGTTGATGAAGTACTGTGCGAGATCTTGCGACCGAGGATAAGAGCAAATGACATTGAAACTAGAACATTCCTATAATCAGTTAAGGGCAGGGGAATAGAAGGTACACTACATTATCATTTACTTTGGAATAGGATACGCAGTTGTGCTGTAGAGTAGTTTCACAGTCGAATTTTAGAAATGGTATGCTACTATTTTATAGTACCAAGGAAATAGTAGATACTCTACATTATTATTTGATATTAATATTGAGTCGATTTTCGTGTTATATTTACTTCATATATTTATACATAATGGAATGAAACTAAAGTTAACAACAGAGGAAGAGGATGGGATTGTTTGTTTATAAAGGGAATCAGAAACTGAGGAAAAAGGGCAGGGGAGATTGGAGGGAGAGGTTCCTATATAAACTACTCAAAGCTTTCTATTTCCACAGTACAGTTCTGTTCGTCTAAAGGGTAGGGAGAGGAGGGGCGGTTCCTATATAAGCTACTCACAGCTTTCAATTTCTATGGTACAGTTCTGTACGTCTAATGGGTAGGGACAGGAAAGGGGCGGTTTCTCTATAAGCTACTCACAACTTTCTATTTCCACAGTACAGTTCTGTTCGTCTAAAGGGTAGTTATGGAGATCCATCATACAGGCCAGTGTTGTCGTAAATCTGCAAAATACAAGCATCAGTTTGGTTTGTTTTAAAATGGATTAGACACCTGCAGCACGAGAGCTAGTCAAGGATATAAGCTTTCTTATTGGGACACGTACCTTCCTAAAGAGTTCAACAGTTAGTTGGCATAAACATTAAATACACATTTGAGTGATGTCTTTATAACACTCATCAGGTTATACATGCCTATATAATGATTATTAAATAAGGTAACATTTAACAGGTAATATTAATCTTCGGATTCGTAAGGAGATATAACATTCATTTAACTCTCTTGCGAGTCTATCCACTACGAGCTTTAAAGATGAGTGTATAAAGGTAATATAAATATACGCAACGAGAACAGGTTGAAATTTAAATTATATAAGAACAGACAACCGAAATGAGACACTAAAATAATAAGATATGATTAGTATACAAACAGGACCGGCGGGTAGATCTGGCCCAAGTTTCTCATATGTTGATTAATTTTAATCAGTGGTTAGTGAAAAATTCGAATTATATCCAATAAGAAAAAATTGGCTTACAAACCAAGAAATATCACAAAAACGTGAATCGTATTTGCTTCGCCAAATCTGTAGCAGTGAAATGATAAAAGATGTTCTGGATTTTGATGTATTCATATTTAAAAAAAAATTCCCTAACCATTGGCTAACTTTAACCAACCGTTGAGCAGCAGGGAGAGGAATTAATGTATCTAAAGTGTCACATGTCACGCTGTCTTCCGTAACATAAACGAAAGTATGAACGTCAGCAACGAACTAAAACGTAAATGATTTATAGGCATACAGTATGATGTTTCATAAGAGATTGTTCCGCAATAAAATGTACTGTGAAAGATCAGTTTTGGACAAGTTTGTAATACCAAAGGGAGAACAAGCATCCTTTAACTGAAAAACCTCTTCCCACCAAACTCGCTCCAAAGGCTTATGTCAATAACATAACCCCTACTTCGAAAGATAGCCGGCGCATTGTATATGTTATATGTTTGTCTAAAGTTTTTATATGACAGATGGTATCAATAGAGACACACTGGAAATGATTAACATGGAAGAAAAATACAGACATTGATCACAAGTTTAGCAAAGGGTGCAACATGTACATGTTTGAGCGCTGTACCTTTATGGCAAGCTGCCATTGAAAACCATGTAGTGAGTAGAGGGCCCTACACTATATAGTTGTCCCCTACTATTACAGCGAACCGAATACTCCCCTTAAACCTTCAGTCTGTAATGGTCATCGAACCTAGAAACTCTCCCTAAATATACCGTCTGTAATGGTCATCAAACTTAGAAACTCTCCCTAAATATACCGTCTGTTATGGTCATCAAACTTAGAAACTCTCCTTAAATATACCGTCTGTTATGGTCATCAAACCTAGAAACTCTCCCTAAATATACCGTCTGTAATGGTCATCAAACTTAGAAACTCTCCCTAAATATACCGTCTGTTATGGTCATCAAACTTAGAAACTCTCCTTAAATATACAGTCTGTTATGGTCATCAAACCTAGAAACTCTCCCTAAACATACGATCTGCACAGGTCATCAAACATAAGGACAAAGTCTATCTTAATACATCATAAAACGATATACGACTTATTTTTTCTCGGTGGAATAACTCTGAAGTCTGTGGAAGAGCGGTTTATGTTGTAAACATCATATTTTGATACACATGCATGCTGTATAAAACGGCGTGATTGTTTTACGTAGAATACAGAAACAAGTTGAATGACGCATGTGGGAAATGGACATCATCAACATTAAAGTAGCTGGGTGCGTCGTCTACACAGCTCTTCATTCATTGTCATGTCTCATCGACATGTGATGCCTACAGCAAGATTATTACAGCTGTCTATGCATGTCTGTAATGGTTGTTTGTAAGGTATCATACAAATGATTTTAAACAGTATCACGTAAGCCTCCTCCAAACTTGGTGTTCATCAGACCGGAACCGTTTACAATCACGTCTGACGTTATTCCGTCTTTGCGTATTGCAGAGTTATCTTCTCTTGATAGCAGGTATTGATTGTTACGTCATTGGTTTGGTTGAGAAAATTACGTCGTTTTCTCAAAAATTGATGACGTTACTCTCACAAACAAATGACGTCACAATCAATACCTGTTCTCAAGAGAAGATAACTCTGCAATACGCAAACACGGAATATATTTTATACAACACATTGTTCAAATGGAGCATGTAAACAGAGGTTTGTGAGAGCTGACGTTGATGATGACATATTTCAGCTGTTTTTCTTTTTTATGATATACATATTTTTTTGTGCGCGATAATGATGTTCGCCTATTGATTTAGTATCTCCCCAGTTGTGGCTACGTATCAACATTGGATGAAGATGTTTCCTGGTATACTAATGTGTGTTACATTGAGTGGGATTTTTTTTATATTTTATCGACAGCTTTGGGGGAAAATACCGAAAGAAAAACACCGGATATAATTTATCTAAAAAGTTGAGATTAAGCTTGTGCTCATTCAGAAATGATGGAGAATGGCTATTGAAGTGACAGAAATAATCGTCAATCGAAAGTCAAACATCAAACGATTTAATAACATGTTATTTGATTATTACGTCACATCATGACGATAAGTTTTTTGTTGTAACTTTGCACAGCAAAATGAAGAGATTAGAGATTTTACTTTATTTGAGCCATTTTTTTATGAAAAGATCTTTTTACACAACCAATACAATTTTCTACGTGACGTTTCGATGACTAGCACGATATGTACTCTGTCACCTTCATCAGACAAATGACCAGTGGAGGGCACACAAAGGTGTAAAGTGTGTACGAGTTGTCCATCCAAGAAAATGTTTAGAAATAACTTTTCTTGCCTTGATAAAAAACACAATAAACATGATAGTCATGGAATATCATACAACTATGATCTTCTTACGTCTCAAATTGCACGATTGCATGGATATATTTTACAATAAGCTTAGTCAAATGTATCCATTCGCTCATTAAAGGAGTGTAGTGTGAGATGTTAGATAAGTTCATATGTGTGGTGTAACCGGATTTTGTTTTGCAAAAAATTTGAACCGAATAATAGGCCTAAATGCAAAGGACGGAACAATACGTCATATTAACATATGAACAAAGAGTAAAACGTTGCTAAAATATTAGGAACCCAATTCTGTTTCTATATTCGTCGATTTGATCAGTATAGAACAACCGACGACTTCTAGTCAAAAATGAGTTTTAACATTTTAACATCTGGTATATATTACCAACGAGTAAAATACATGGCTTGTACTGCAAGACGCGAACACATTTTATGTTGCTTTATGAAGTGGGATTCATTAAGTACTGTATACATATTTAATTCGAATATGTATATTGAAAGAAATTGATAATATTTACCAGCATAATTGACTTTGATTCAATTTTTTCCTTTAACATTTTCAGTACTCGAGTATGTAACCATGTTGTTGACAGAAGGCATGGTCTAAACATTGTTTATTCTCATAATGAAAACACTACAAATCGGGCTTGTAGGTATATTAGGTATGTGGGCTTGTCTACTCGGTGTTGATTAACAAGGAAGGAAAAACGTCCAAGTTCCTATATGATCACGTTTACGATTAACTTTTAATATATTCTGCTTATATAATTTTAAGTCAGTAGAAAGTCTCCAAGGAACGTGTCTACATTACGTAGCATTTAAAACACGCCATGCCTTAATTGACTAATATATTTCCATCTGTTCAGTATTTTTTATTTCAAACGAAGCTGTGATGTGGAATGACGTCATACCAAACAGAAACACAATGTTGTATTGTATATGACCTTGGTAATAGATAGAAACATTCCAGTGTTTTGTCGATGTAATTGTTTCCGCTTATGGAAACTGTATTTCAAAGGTCAAACCTAAAAAGAGCACATCATTCTAAGCTCCTGTTTTTTACATGGTATATTTTAACACACAAATAGCGATCAAGACAGACGAGGAAATGATGTGTGTGAGAAGTTGAATGCCGCAAAAATAGTTTGGAAGGAGCTGACTGCTTAGGAAGTAGTTGCATGTAGGTAGATGTCGGGGAAAGTGTATATCAGAAGCTGACTCCCAAGGATATTGTAACGAGTTGACTGTGGAACATCTGAACTGTTTGGAACTGACTGCCGAAAAATGAGTTTATAAGGAGGCGACTACCGAGGACATGATATGGTTTATAAGGAGGCAACCACCGATGACATGATATGGTTTATAAGGAGGCGACTACCAAGGACATGATATGGTTTGTAAGGAGGCGACCACCGAGGACATGATATGGTTTGTAAGGAGGCGACCGCCGAGGACATGATATGGTTTATAAGGAGGCGACTACCGAGGCCATGATATGGTTTATAAGGAGGCGACTGCCGAGGACATGATATGGTTTATAAGGAGGCGACTACAAAGGACATGATATAGTTTATAAGGAGGCGACTAGCGAGGACATGATATGGTTTATAAGGAGGCGACTACCAAGGACATGATATGGTTTGTAAGGAGGCGACCACCGAGGACATGATATGGTTTATAAGGAGGCGATTACCGAGGACATGATATGGTTTATAAGGAGGCGACCACCGAGGACATGATATGGTTTATAAGGAGGCGACTACCGAGGACATGCTATGGTTTGTAAGGAGGCAAATACCGAGGACATGCTATGGTTTATAAGGAGGCGACCACCGAGGACATGATATTGTTTGTTAGGAATATGCTGACTGCCGAGCATTAAAGTAGTTGAGCACCGAGGAAATGGTTTGTAAGGAATTTACTACCCAGGAATTGACTCTGAATGATCGTTTGTAAGGATTTGACTGCAGATGAAATGGTGTGTTAGAAGCTGACTGCTGAGGAAATGGTGTGCTAGAATCTGACTGCTGAGGAAATGGTGTGCTAGAATCTGACTGCTGAGGAAATGGTGTGTTAGAATCTGACTGCTGAGGAAATGGTGTGCTAGAATCTGACTGCTGAGGAAATGGTGTGCTAGAATCTGATTGCTGAGGAAATGGTGTGCTAGAATCTGAATGCTGAGGAAATGATGTGCTAGAATCTGACTGCTGAGGAAATGGTGTGCTAGAATCTGACAGCTGAGGAAATGACTTCTAAGGAGATGACTGCCACATAAACAGTTTTTGGATGGGTTGAGTATACATGAGTGTTTCCGTTTACCTGTACTGATAACGTATTTATGGTCTGTTGTTCTTCCACAAATAAGCCATAGGACGCTTAACAATAAACAGATATACATTTTCGACGATTTAAAACGATCAAAATAAATGTAGGAAGACGCATGCACTGCCTCATAAGCCCCAAATGTCTTTTTTTTCCCAACGGCAAATTCTTTTATTCTGCGTCACCTCACTTGAATGTTTCAGCAGAGACATTGTAGCATACATCTAATGCAATTTTATATTCCGCCTCGGTATTTGAATATCATGGGCAAAAACACTTGTCTATGAAAACCCTTGCTGCTACGACTTCGGCCGTGTCTGTAGCAGACTTGATTGTTAAACAATAGACAAAATTCGTCCGTTATTCCCAATATTTCTCAAAATTATAACTCATCAAAGATAATTTTATTGTCTAGTAATATTTGTTCTGTAAACCACAGAGCGTCTATGACATACAGTAGCTAACACAGCGCCACCTTAAATCCCCTCAACGGACTGGACGTAATACTCACCGACAGAATGGACATTAGCTAAAGGTCACGGCACTCCATGGGATCTGGTACACACTGTACGTGCTTTGACGTAAAGGGAAAGTCCTAAAAACTGATACTTCACTAAGGAGGCTGTAGATTGCTTCCATTTCCGATTAGATTTATAATTTCATAGCATTTGAATTGTGCCTGGAACGGAAGGCGATACGGGTTTATAGCCTACAGAGTGGAATCGTCGGCAATGGTAAAACCGTCATACATACGGCTTATTCACAACACGTCTTCGGCTCCCGGCACAAAGCTTTGAGCAAAAATAATTAAATTCATCATTACAGATATCTATTCTTGAAAGGCAATTTCTTAAAGTCATTTTATCTTGCCATAGATCATAAGAAAATACTACAAAGCCGAGTTTGAATGGGTAATCATCTATTTGAGTTAGGAGTGGTATTTGTTTGTGAGGTTCAGCAGACATGATCGTGACATAATTTGTACAGGAGTGTTCGGAATACCAGTTATAAATCCGACAGACAACTATAAGGATATATGTCGAAAACAAAGGGTTTCACTAAAGCATTAAGACACACATTTCGTTGATAACACATCAAAGTAGAAATTTCCAGTGAAATTACTTTGGAAGAAAATGCACACATTGCTTTCATATAAAAGGTTGCTGACGCCTTTCAGTAAGATCGTACATCTAGGTGAAATCATTATAGCTATACATGTACCATCTACGCAACATCTAAATAGTCTATATAGTTATAACTAACACCTAGGTAACGTCTTTATAGTTATAATTATTGTACCTCTACTTTATTAACTCTATTTAAAAGTAATTGGTTAAATCAGATATATCCCCACTTTTGCCTGTCTGTGTTTTAGTACTGTGTGTAAGTCTGGGAACTAAAACACACCTACACTCGGTTGTTTCCGCCAAGCCAATCAAGCGAGAGATGGGCGGAGCTTGTTACCGACATCGGAAGCGACGCGCGAGGTGGGCGGAGCTTGCTACCGAACTCGGAAGCATTTGGCTCATTGCCATCAAAAGGGTAGTTTGGACGCCTCAGGCAATAGACCTGGTCTCGGGACACCAGAAACTTGCTGTATCCCTCTACCACATACTTTAACCGTAAACTAACACCTAGGTAAAGTCTGTATAGCTATAACTAGCACTTAGGTTAAGCCTTTATAGATATAACTAACACCTAGGTTAAGCCTGTATAGATATAACTAACACTTAGGTTAAGCCTGTATAGATATAACTAACACCTAGGTAAAACCTGTATAGATATAACTAACACACAGGTTAAGCCTGTATAGATATAACTAACACCTAGGTAAAGCCTGTATAGATATTACCAACATCCATGTAAAGCCTGTATAGTTACTAACAGCAGGTAAAGTCTGTATAGCTATTACCAACATCCATGTAAAGTCTGTACAATTATAACTTACATAGATGTCAAATTTGTATAGTTTACCTCACAAATCCATCCTTGTGTGGTGTTACTTGACTTTTTACGGCACGCCATAGAGATAAATGGTGGAGATAACTAACACATAGGTCAAGCCTGGATAGGCACAGTGTTTTGATTTTAGAGGAAGATAGCAGACAAACGTAAGTAACTCACGCGTTTCATGTTTAATAAGCTACACATCGCCTTGTTCTGTATGGTAGGCCTATAACATGTACCAGCAAATAGTTTAATACTCAGATTTATATAAATGTCTCAAAAGCTCATATTTCAATTTCAAATACGAGGTAAAACAGCAATAAATATAGCTGCCTAATCCTAGAATAGGTATATGATCATCAATGAGTCAGTGCTATGATTATAATGTCACGAGTACTGTTGGTTACGAATGGCTCTGGTAAGTTATTCATATAAATAGCATATTTCACCTTTTCATTAAATATACTCGTGGATGTATTCTATTTTAACAAAAAAGGAGCACGTGCAACGATCTTCTAACGCTTGCCCTGTGAACGAGTGTGCAAGGTTGTTTTACATATAACACACAGAGTACGTAGCATATTCGCGCAACATTGCACACCGTTTCCTCCAATACAGACATTTCCAGAGCACACTCATCATAGTGCCGTTGATGTTATTACTTTTACGAAATAGACACACTGCTGAACCTCAACTTCAAATAGTGTCCAAATAGCATTAGGTATTTGTTCCGTTTAAGCGTCCGGTCGCTCTGCCATACGAAAAGTAGCGATCGTATATTACAGTTCAGTTCTTCTACAAAGGAAAGCCGTACAATTTCTGTATTCTAGCATTCTTACCTCATGCCGTAAACAACTGATCCATTTCCATATAAGCGTATCATTTTATTTTTCTCTGTCACTTCGTGTAAAAACGAGTTCTTGTCGTTTGCAAAGAATGTATCAGGGACCCAGATCTTCTCGGCAAAGTCTCCTGTCAAGGTCATTGGTGTGCCGTGTTTGTGGCGGGCAAAAGCAAGTCTATCATCAGCCCAGTACTGGTTCAGGTAGATGGTGATCGTGTAGTCCTACAAAGTGAGAAGAGAAGGTTAGGTTGGTTTATAATGTTACATGCACATTGCATCGAAAGTTTTATAGCAAAACTTTTTTACGAAATTTGAAGCAAAATCATTATCAAGTCACCTGCTCACTTCTGTTATCTAATGATTTAGCTTCATCACAAATTATAAAGAATTATCTTATAGAGATAAACAATAGTTATATATAAGATTTAATGTTTGAAGATATTGATAACTCTAAAGTGTGAGCAAAAGCTCTAATCCTGCTGATGTGTGAACCGAACAGAACAGCCAGTGCAATGCTCGAGCTGATGTGTGAACCGCACAGTACAGCCAGTGCAATGCTCGAGCTGATGTGTGAACCGCACAATACAGCCAAGGCAATGCTCGAGCTGATGTGTGAGCCACAGTTCAGCCAGGGCAATGCTCGAGCTGATGTGGGAACCGCACAGAACAGCAAAGGCAATGCTCGAGCTGATGTGTGAACCGCACAGTTCAGCCAGGGCAATGCTCGAGCTGATGTGTGAACCGCACAATACAGCCAGGGCAATGCTCGAGCTGATGTGTGAACCGCACAGAACAGCAAAGGCAATGCGCGAGCTGATGTGTGAACCGCACAGTACAGCCAGGGCAATGCGCGAGCTGATGTGTGAACCGCACAGAACAGCCAAAGCAATGCTCGAGCTGATGTGTGAACCGCACAGTTCAGCCAAGGCAATGCTCGAGCTTATGTGTGAACCGCACAGTACAGCCAAGGCAATGCTCGAGATGATGTGTTAACCGCACAGTACAGCCAGGGCAATGCTCGAGATGATGTGTGAACCGCACAGTTCAGCCAGGGCAATGCTCGAGCTGATGTGTGAACCGCACAGTTTAGCCAAGGCAATGCTCGAGCTATCCATGTAAGTTTGACCATACGATTAGATTGTTTATCGTGAAAGTGTTTACTGGGGATGCCGCAAGCTGTGAAGACCCATTTCCCGATCGACCCTTTCTGTATGTCATGGCGCATTGTTCACATATCTTCAGTCAGGCATCATCTACTCGCGTCCAAAGTTAATAAGCACATCGTCCAGTTATTGACCCTCTCTGTCAATTATCACACCAATATTTGCATGTGAAATGTTCAAGCTATGTATTTGGTCAAATTGTAGACATTCCGAGATTGATTCAATCAAATTATGAATATTTCATGTCGAGTGTTGACGTACATTATCTACTAGATATTGTTACACTGATACTCGATTGATATACTGGACGTATGAGGTTGGCGTTGACTTGATTTGGGGGAGACACAACATACGATCAATGGCCGAAATGATGGATCGTGTGCACTACTGACTTCCGATCTGACCAGCCGACCTTTGATCAGTTTAAGTACATAAGGCACGGTCGTGGTAACACCACATCATGGCGACCATGGTAAAACTACATTGTAGCAACCATGGCAACAGAACATCATGGCGACCGTGGTAAAAATTACACTGTAGCGACCATCGCCAAACCACATCATGGTGATCATTGTTACACTACTCAAAGGCAAACAGATTATAGTTACACCATATCATGGCGACCATGGAAACACAACGTCATGGCGGCCATGGTAACGTCAAATCTTTGGAAAACTATATCATAAATACTATAATTCTACTATTTTCCTAACCCGCACATTTATCTTATTACTGGCTGTGTCACACAAGTGTGTTACTTCTACTGGAATTTTCTGTTCAGTAATATTTCTTAAATAAGTCTTTGGTATTTTATACCGTATACTAGGGACACCTCCACCTGGAGGTACTGTACATAGTGAAACCTTCTCTCTCACTTTGGTAAATAATGAATATAGAAACACATAAACCACAGGCTCAACTCACATTGAGAGTGGTAATAACGACAGTACTGATTAGTGTTGTCGTTCTGTTTTAATTGCCACTGCTCTCCCTACGAGCACGTGACAATACTTGGATTTTTATTAATTTCACGCGATTATCGCACCTTATAACATAGGTTAAGAAGTTTATTGAGTATTGTATCCAAATGACGGATTTCGCCCCATAATCGCTTTTTTTTCGTACTTTCTTAAAATGTCAACCACATGTTACCATTGTTGACCTTGCTAGTCTAAGTGATATGTCTGTAATTGCATTTTGTGTCCTATCTTTTCTTCTAGACATGGATTATAACAATTTCACACCATTCATATATACTTTAAATGTGTTACAGGCTTCAGCTAAGATGAACATGCCATTTTGTAATTCATTTAAGGAAAATATATCCCCTTGCAGACACGGTCGTCCTACCCTGCGCCCCTATGTCTGGCAGGCACGAGCTCACTGCCCAATTGCCTTGCCATTTATTAGGTTTTATCCATGTCTTGTCAAGACATTACCCTTTTATTGCTTAATTCCCTAGTCTTATGTATAAATAATCTAATATCTAGGAACATCCTCGGGGGCCGGTGGATACCAGATTATTTTACTGTTCAAAAGTTGTTTTTTTTTGCTGTAAATACCAGTCAACAGTTTAAGTAAACATAAATATATATCCTAGCTTCAACGTTAAAGGCAATGTTAAAATTCAAAAACAAGGGTCGAGTATACATAAAACCAAAAAGAATATGCATAAAAAAATATGCATTCCGGAAGTGTAATCGTTTCCTGACCATATTTGGCGACCGTCGTGATTTCTCTTTTCAAATACAAGATATGTATTGTTCTTAGATAAAATAAACCTTCCAAAAGGAATCATGAATGTATCATACAAAGGCAGATATTTCATTAAGAAGTTAACTTAATTTATTTCACAAGTTAAGCTGCTACTAGTAGAAAGACATCATACATGTTGTATTCTAATTATCTTCTGTGTAAAATCTCTAAAAGTCCTGGTGTGTGTTTTGTTTGAATAAGTCATGCTCTCTATTAGAGCGTTCTAATTCGTGTTAATGTGCAGGATTCGTGTGGGTGCCCCGTTAATGACCTAATGGTTTCTAATCGTAGTGTCTAATGCAACAGGCAAAGATCACTATCCGCAAATAACTAATGGGCCTGGCATACCGCAACCCACAGCATCCCATGAATTACAAGCTCTTTACAATATCGCTTGCAATACGCGACCCATTTAGCCTTCAAAATGTAATTTAAAACTGGCAAAACATACCAAAATATTTTGCTGATTAAATTAACAATCCACCAGCTGACAACAACAAACTTAGAAGTCCTGATTGCTAATCATAATTTTGAAGTTAGTACAGATTATACAAAGCTCTCGATTATTTCACTTAATGACAACCTGTCCCGTGCAGACATTGGGGTGCGCGTGGTGTAACGGACCATAGACAGTGTCTATTTGTGATCTTATTTATAATTGGATGATCACCGTATCTTTCATAATTTAAAAAATTCTTCATATCAATGACGGACATACCTTCCTAATGACGGATAATTCATATGATAACGCTACCCTTCCAGAGGACCTGGGCCCGTATTCATGAAACCGTTCTCATGCCCACGCATGGATCTTGTGCTCACACCAAATTTCTTGTAACTCACTTGAATCATGTGACACGATCAAAAGGTCAGGTGTAATTACTGTAAATGGTATCTGGCTGTAAGTCTCGGTAAACTTCTGCCAACTCATTGACAAAAGGTGATTCGTTTTATTAAATGATTACCAGAACATTAAATGATTAATTACCAGAACATTAAATGATTACCAGAACATTAAATGGGGCTTGAACACAGAATCTGAGTTTAAGCATGCTTATATTTCATCATACCTTAGCTTTCACTTTATATTGCACCCTACTTCTGTCATTCCCTCATATCACACACCTTTTGCTCCATATTGTATCACGTATTGCAGTGGGAACAAATGGGTATATACATACACAAAAAAGCTATAAAACATTGACCATCTTTGTTTATTTATAAAAAAAACTATAAAAAATACACATATAATACATAAACTATGCCAAAATTATGTTTGATCAAATACTTTTGCTGTTGGTAATGGGTACATGATATATCCCCCACCTTATTCCTGAGCCAAATCAAAGAAATTGTCCGTGAAGTGGTTTTATAGCAGTTAAAGAATAATTACAGAAACATTATCAATATGACACTAAGTGTAAAATAGTTTCAGTATTACTTACAGTGGCATAGTTTATGATTGGAAAACGTGTAACCAAAATACAAAAGAATGCACATTTGTCTTTCGGCCAAACACTTGTAGTAGTCTTGATGTGTATCTATCTTGTATCACTCTTGTATTTTGCAAAATTATCACAAACATGAATGACGTTGTAGATATGTCTTGAAAAGTAAATGCAAATCACGTCTTTTTAGTGAAAATGTCATGACATGACTACTTTGACAATTTGACCGCAACCATGCGTGACTCTGTTAGACTGTTGACAAAGCAATTATTTTATTTGAGCAAAGCCACCCGAATTCTCTCGATTTAGGTTATATTCAAACTATGAACCTGTTCTCTCTACCTACATATACTAATTCTAAACTTATTCATCTCATTTGAAACGTTTTTGCGATTTTCGATTAAAAATTAAAAAATTAAAATCAAAACATCTGGCATGAGCCTCATGAATTACAACTCTTCAATCTCATTCGTTATTAATGCATTGCCACTCTTTCAATGCTACAGATATCTCGTTACAGAACATGCCGTGAAGGTTTAACTATTAACACGTATTTCGATTTTATCATGAGGCCGAAAACCTAATTTAATTTTTAGTTTTTAGTGTCGTGATGTATGTCATTAAAATGTCAAAATAGAAATGTCTATGACACAATCAAGGCTACTAAAAGGGCTTCATAATTGAATCACGTTGCGTGTTGTCCTATAATACAGATATTGTAACATGGTACTGTACATCATTATGTTATACTTTGAGAAAGGGCAACGTTGTGGAGTCCTCAAATCAACAAGGGGAAAATACATAACTAGCAGATCACGATCCATTGGCTCTCGCGTGAGTAAGATATCATATTTTT